TTCTACAAGCAAGTGTTTTGTGCCCTGCTTGGGAGAAGGTGTCTAGGTTAAGCCCTGTGACAAAGAACTATTGGGCACAATGGGACCTGTTGAGGCTTGAAGATGGTAGTCTTGTCCAGAGATGGAAAGCTGCAGATGGGAAAGTGACGACTCTTGGGCTACTCTTTTACCAACGAATAGTGGGATTGACCGTCACATTATAATGCCCCCACGGCTGAAAGGGCGAGCATGTTTGGTGGGATGGGGATTCGAACCCGCGACCCTCAGATTGCGAGTCGAGCGCCTTAACCACCTGGTCATGCCCCAACACAATTATATAAATTATAAGTTCTTGAAAAGTTGGTATTTATGACGAAGTTAGTCTGATCGTATGAAATTTAATTTGTTTACTTGTTTGTTGTTACGCGTAAAGCTACATAATGTCGCAGTGGTATTGGAAGCGGGGGGGGGGCTGTCCTCACTTTGCAATATGTCCCAGATTCCCAGTACAAATGCATTAAAATTAGGAAAATTACTCTCAGGAAAAGTAGGAAAATGCATAAAATTTAATCTGGAACCCAAGAGCTTCTAGGGATCGCGTTATGGCGCGAAATTGGTGCGCATGTAGCGCACATTCCCTTGCTTCGCTCGGTCAAATAAACCTTTACTCCCCCACCACCACTTTTAACTTGCCTCCTACACGGCACACCTCTGCAATCTTTGCTGTTCCCACCATGGATATCTAAGACTAATTTTTGGCGTTATAAGTCCACAGACTTGTCGCTGGCCTTTCGATATTTAGATTATTTCTGGTTTTTATAGCTGAAAATCATTCAAAAAAATCTTCCAATTTATTGTAAATTAACGGGATTTTGATTACCATCAATGTTAAATATGACTTACTTTCCAAAAATTCCCAAACATTTCTACATTAGTAGCTTTTTTTCCTTTTTTAGTGATCAAGTCGTCATTAGGCTCGCCGTTATAGTTTCCACAAAGTCCACACATTTGGTTCTTGAATACTGGAGGAACAGACACTTCAACGTAGCTGTCGCCATCCCAAGTAACTTTAAGTCCTGGAAAAACAGAGAAAGACCATACCCTGAAACTAAAAGGAAACAGTTCTACTACATGTGTTAAACTAAGAATCAGATGAATAACACAGCCACGCCATCTTTACTCTGGAAAAACAGAGAAAGACCATACCCTGAAACTAAAAGGAAATAGTTCTACTACATGTGTTAAACTAAGAATCAGATGAATAATACAGCCACGCCATCTTTACTCTGGAAAAACAGAGAAAGACCATACCCTGAAACTAAAAGGAAATA